GTCACCAGAACAACTAACAATCTTTGTAAATCTTCTGAAAAAATGTTTTAAAATAGAATATATTAATTTATCAACCAATTGCTCAATGAGAGAACATTTTTTTCATATCTGTAAAGGACTTAAACAATCATCAAAATATTTGAATACTATCATTTTCCAACATTGCGATTTCAAGGCAGACCTTTGTAAAGAATTTGGAAATCTTCTGAAAAAATGTTCTAAAATAGAAGTAATAGATATATCAAAAAATTCATATATGGGAAAAGGAATTTTTCATATTTCTAAAAGACTTCAATATTCAACAAGAACATTGAAGAAGATTATTCTCAGCAGAAGCTTTTTCCCAGAAGAATACCTTATGGTGTTTAGATATCAGTTGGGAAAATTTTGTGAATATGTACTAACAGACTAATTGAATAACTTGCATTTTCTAAATGGACTTTTTTGACATTTCAATAATATGTGACTAAAAATGTGTCAAAAAAACTTGAATCTGTTGTTTGAAAGAGTAAAGATTATGATTGAACAGCTGATTCTTCTAGAACAGAAGACCACCATTTTTTTACTTTTATATATATCGTACTGCTCTGTTTGGTCAATTTATACATTGCAAGTTACAGCAGTACTTCTGGAGCAAATGGACTTTTGTATCAAATCAATCAAATCTGTTGTAGTTATTCAATTTAGTAAACCACAGTCTTAAATTTATCATTATTAATGAAATGAAACGTGATTTTCAGACAATAATTTTCTCCTTTGTCCTAGGCCTATTATATATTGCCAATCAATAGTGACATCAAAAATATTCAAACTGAGATGAGATAGAATAATAATTGCTTCACACTAATCTTTATGTGTAAATTTTACTAGAAAACCCATGCTTTTCAGTGGACATTTCTCCTATTCAAAAATTGTACATTTTTGTATAGTAATTGTAGGAATTTCTGGTTCATATGTGTACAGTTTTAATCATTTATCCACTGATAACTTAATCAGGAATTTTTCTGTTGAACCCAAATCAAATTTGTTATGGGAAAAACTAATTTTGATAAAGAGCAAAAATGTGTTATAATATTTGTTAGTTCTCTGAGAAAACCGCTTTTTAAATTGCATTTTTCAAGGGCTAATTTTTTATTTCAACTTGAATATTCTCTAAAAGTTACAAGGTAAGTGTACTTTCCTGATGGGGGTTGTAGGTAAGTGCTGGTCCAAATAGAAGTGAATTAAATTCATTGGTTTATGTACTTTCCTAAGAGTTGAACAGTTCACAATTTCAAAGTTTGAACAATGCAAAGTAACATTTTGACAAAATTGAAAGTTCTAAAAATGGTTCTGCCTTTAATTGGTTTCATTCACCCTGAGTAATTTGGCAGATAAATTTAGGTGGTCAGCTTCTTTCATAAAAAACATTTTAAAGTATAAAGTGTTCATTACTACTCATTTTCTCTGTCAAATCATTGCAAGAGAAACTGGAAGACATGGTATCAGTGTTCCAAGGATTTAACAGAGATGTGTATTTGTAGATGGAGGTTCCATCTGAAGGTAGTGCTGCCCCTATCAGATTTAGTGACTCCACCAATAATATCATTATTTTTTCAGAACAACAAGTATTTAGAGAGATATGTGAGTTGTTAATAAAATTGAGGTTCTATTTAAAACTGTTCTTTAGCTTATTATTAGTTATAAACAAATTGAATTTGATGATATAACAAAGAACAACATCATAAATATAGCAACAAAATAATTAAATATAAAAGCAAAGGCAGAATTCAGTTACAGAACTGTAATGGCAAGCCGCGCCTTTAAGTGAAACTATCCTCTGGAATTACCCTGATGGGTCTTTGCAAAGGGGGAGGTGAAACCATGGTAGGTCAACCAGGGTTAGTTGTAAATATTAGTGGATTGATAATCAAATATTGTACTACTTTCTTGATATTCTCTTTTGGAAATAGATCCAAGCCTAATTCGGGTAAAGGAAAATTGACCCTCAGACAGTTGACCCCCATGATTATTAATCCCTGAACAATAGGTGATTAGGAAAGTTTAAAGGGTCAGCTTGATAACATTATTGTGTTGTTCAATGAATAGTGAACATCTAATGTCGCTTGTCCAAAACAGATGGCGCTAGTGCAAGGGTAGCCACCTAGTATTAGGTACGAATGAAAAGTTTCAGTCACTGTGTGTTTTTTGTTAGAAATATTTGATGAATGTGGTTAATTTTTGTGTATGTTAAAGCCTAAAGTATATGCTACAAATATTGATAATTTAATTTTTCAATAGTCCCCTCCTTTTTCTATACAAGCCTGCCATTTGCTAGGAAGTAGAGTGATGCCGTTCCGGTAAAACGAGGTTGGCTTTCTCCTCAGAAAATCTTTGACATCTGTCTTCAATTCCTCCAAATTGTCATAATGGGATCCTCTGATATGGTCCTTCAATCTCCCAAAAAGATAATAGTCAGAGGGAGCCAAATCAGGACTGTAGGCTGGGTGAGGGCATAATGACCACCCTTGATCTCTTATGAAATCTGTTGTGTAGAGACTTGTATGCGGTCTTGCATTATCATGCTGTAGTATCATTTGTTTTCCAGGTCTAATTCTATGCAACCTCTTCCTTAGTCTCTTTAGGGTCTGAACATATTGTATTGAGTTGACTACTTCTCCATACTCCATGAATTCAATGTGGACTAAACCAGAATAGTCCCAAAAAACTGAGCACATCAGTTTTTCTGCTGACTTGGCCATTCTAAGCTTCTTGTCAGGTGGAGATGATGTGTGTTTATAAGTAAAAGAAGACCTTTTAGATTGTGGATCATAGAGGTGTACCCAGGTTTCATCTCCAGTCACAATTTTTTCTAAAAAGTCTCTTCCTTCTGCCATGTATCTTTCAAGTAGCTCCATACAATGACTCACCTTCACCAGCTTCTGGTCCAGATTGAGAGCATAAGGAATCCATTTTGCACAGATCTTTCTGTATCCTAGCTCCTTTATAATTTTCCCTACAGTCTGTTGACAAATTTCTATTTGTTGGGCGATTGCTCTCTGAGAAATGGTCCGATCTTCTCTGATAAGCCTGTCAATTTCTTCTCTATTCTGACCTGTTACAGTTGTGCTTGGATGACCAGATCTTGCCAAATCTTCAAAATTTTTTCTTCCTTTTTTATGTCAGATACCCACCTCCTTATTGAACTTTCACTCAGAGTTTCATCCCCACAAAAGCTTTTTAACCACTTATAAATTTGTCTCACAGACACCTTCTCATGCACTAAAAATGCTATGATTGGTCGTTGATCGGAACGTGTGCACATGACTTGCAGTTGCTTATACCAAAATAAATTTGTAATGCCTCAACAGAATCGAATGAAAGTTTGCACAGTGAAAGTTTACTAATTTCCTAAGATTATTGGAAAGTATCAATGATATTAGTTAAGCCGTTTTAAAATTACAGCACAGTGACTGAAACTTTTCATTCATACCTAATATATATGTTATTAGTTATGTTCTTGTGGTGGAGGGTATATAAACTTGTAAAATGTTCAAAACTGTATTAAACCTACAAGAATTAAAGAATGATTCTCTACTCATTTATCTTAATTGGTAAGTTATAACAAAATTGGTAGAGATAGTAGAAATCTTGTTTACATTTTAATAATTATGCTTTAATAGCTTTTACACTACTTCACTTTTCAAAATTGGAAAAACTTGAACAAGCTATGAGTAATGTTTCCCAATTTCCTGTCAGTGATAACGACCTTTCAAGATCAGGATATGCTTTTTGTAAGGCAGAGATTGATAAATGTAACAACATTTTCCGTCTAGATTATGGATACATCAGATATTCATTTAATGGTGCAAAGTATTGTTCAATTAGAAGAAAATATGTTCAGTGTCTTACAAGAATTAATTCAAATTTATGCATTGTATACGAACTTTATGACATGTTGAAACATGTACATGACACCTGTAACTCAGGCATGTTTTTCACTGGTAAACATATAATCTACAACTGACTTTTTTTTGTATTTTTTGTGTTATAGCTTGTCAAAGGACTTTGTTAAAGGTAAATGGTTTGTCAGAGGGGAATTTTGCCAATTTTATAATGCTACTGCAACAGCATTCAAAAATTGTAATGGATATAGAGGATTCATTAAAAAACAGTCAGAAATAGCATTTCACAAATGTAAGATATAGCTTTAACCTTAATGTAATATATATACTGTATAAATATTTTTTCCTATGAATTAGGTTCCAAAAACAATGGAGCAACAGCTAAATTTCTAGCTAGTCTTATCTTACTTCCTTTGCTTTGTAGTCTGACTTTAAATAGATTCTTTGAATATTTAAGTCTATAAAGAAACTGTTGCAAACAACCCTAACCATTTTGATCATTCAAGAAGATAGCTCCACTTAATACAATATGACATTGAAGTAAGAGAAGAGAAGTCACACTGTAATTGAATCACTCTTTGCATAAATTTTTTGGTTGTTATAAGTGTTGGCCGGGTTTGAATGGATGATTTTAAAATGTATTTGTCCAATGATATGTGTAGATAAGTAATTGTGCTGTTGTAGTATTAAAAATATTAGTCAATTTAAAAATGCCATAGTCTTTCATTGTAAATTAGGAGTTATACATTGGAAATTTGTATCATCAATCATTAGAATGAGCCTTACAGCTTTAACTGGCACAACCAGTTTATTTTCACCTTATAAGCCATAGGTAATGATTTTCAAAATATATCCATAAATGAAAATATTCTACTCTTATCTATTTACAATTTTGTACTGAATAAATTAATTTTTATGAAATATTTCGCAACTGTGTCACATCCCATCGGCTGAACATCAAATGGCTAGCAGTTAGTGTTATGGGTGTGCCACTTATAGGTATTCTCCAAACAATCAGTATTTACAATAATATTGTTAAATAGGTCATTTTATTATAATAAAATATACTTTAGTGTTAACACTACTTAAGAAAAGTAGAAAATCAATGGTATGATCAATACAAAAATCTATTGTGAATACATACAAAAATGGGGAATATGGAGAGAATGAATAATGAAATACAATAAAAATAATATTCCTTAAAAATATTTCTAAAGGTTATTTTCATACAAATATTATCTAGCTGGAAGATGTATTTCCTGCCCATTTCAGCCGATACATCTTCTTTAACAGGAAGAGAAGCATGCCAAACTTAGGCGATATGATCACCAACTGCACTGGCCGAGGACAGATAAATGGAAAGAGGCCCATTCGGTTAGTAAAGAATTACCCTTCTTGCTTCTCGCTCAGTTTTGCTTTACCATGTGTGCATTCCAGGGTATGCTCGGTGACTTTATCTGTAATATATCCCAACTTGAAGTTATATGTATATCATACTTCTTCAGCATTTTTTCCTTCTAAATATCCTGCGGCTTATGGACAGAATGCTTATATGCTTTTCCCAAGGAAAATGGAAATTGTCAATCCAAACAACTGTTGTCTTGAATTAAGATCAAAACTCCAAAAACTTTATGCGGTAAAGGCGTTTTGGGAAAGAATGCATCGAATTGCAAGGTTTCTTGACAGCTATTGATAAATAAAATGAAATTTTCTTTTCTTTTTTTATGTAAAAGGAAAGTTCAATAGCAGGGTAGATAGTTTGTAATACTAGCCTCCAAGCAGAAAGAGTAGCAATCTTCTTCTAGCAATTCTAGCTAATATTTCAAATTTTGTTCATTGACTAATGTTGGTATGCTGTTTATAAATATTTTTATAGAATTTAAATATCTTTTATGCTTATTGAACTATAATTTCCTTATATAATTAATTATAGAAATTAATTTTTTTCCATGAGAAATATTGATTTTAATTAATTGAATGTGTTTTTAATAGAAAGTATTTCTTTCTGCAATTTGTTTTGCTTCAAATTTCATCAAAATCGGCCAACTGGTTGTGGAGATATTGATTTGGTAAAAAAAATGTACTATGATTAGTACACTTGATATAATGAAAAAACAATGATAGATCAGAAATTATAAAATATTAGAAGTTGTTGTAAAGTTTTGAAATTGGTATGTAAAAGTTTATGGCACCAACAGTTAAGATTAATATTATTAATCTGAGGAATTTGCTCTTAAGATTCCATTTAATCAATTATAGAATTCTTCCTTATCATTGTTAGTTCTAATTGCATTTTGATACACTGACCACTGCTTTGGTGACCAAATATTATCTATAATCCAAATTCAAAACCAACAATTGTATTTGAAGATAATAAGATGGTAACAAAATCCTGTGTAAAATAAAAACTGGAGATTGTCAGTGAGGATATTGATATGGTAAATGTGCAGTTAGATATAATGATATATCAATACTTAGACTTTAGGTATAAGGGTACATTAGAAAGACTTCTATTTCATAGGAATTACAATGGTCCAACTATAGAAATACTTGTGTTTCGTACCAATTATAATGGTGGAATTTTAGAAAGACTTTTATTTTGTAGAGTTAGCTTATATAGCTTACCACTATAGAATTAACAAAGGAACAAGCAATATAGAAAAAATGCATGTTAAATTTGTTGCATCTTATTCAAAAACAGATTCGGAAGATTCATTTCTATGGGATATTGTTTAAAACGTCCACATTTTTATAGTTTTACCCTAACCCTAACCCAGCCCTGGATCCTGTTTTAAGCACATCATTGTTCCTAACCCTAAGTTTGGACCCACCTCATTACAAATCAATAGTTTAAATATTTTTCCTATGGTACATGCATACTTTATACACTTTTAAAAAGGCAATAAACCCATTAAACAATGAGGAAATATTGGCAACCATACCAAATGATCAAAAATTAAATAGGTCATAATAATCTAATAAAGATTTGCAGAAAAGAACTGAGCTATATGCATATATAATAAAATGTATATATTAACAATAAATCAATATTTCTTATAAGCCAATAATATTCAAGCAGCTTACAAAAGTTTCAATTGCATGATTAAAGAAGCTATAAATAAATAACTGTTTTTCATTTGTTTTTCTTTTCTTGAGATAATCAAATAGACCTTTTCTAAAAAATGGAGCCATTACTCAATAGACATATATTAAACAATTGTAGATGGCATAATGACAAGATTTGGTAACTTTGAGCAGACAAGAGCATCAACTACATACCAGTGTTTGTTTGTAGTTAGATAGTCTTTGCATTCATTGTAGTGGCATTTCTTTCTCCCAAAATTGTCAATAACTGGTTCAGTTACTTGACAGCAAACAAACAAATCCTTAAATAGTCTTAACCAGAGGAATATTTTATCATGTTTTACATGATTTACAAGTGAGATATTAAGTTCTGATTCTATGCATTTATTAAAGAGCATATTGACCATTTGTTTCATTATTCAACAGCGGAAGACAGCCTTATTCCTTTGGATTCTCTCTCTCTCTCTCTCTCTCTCTTAAATATCAATGAAATTAAGTTTTTTCACCTAAAAAGATGAAACATTTGTGGACATTAAGAGATATTCTACCAGTTTATATGTTAATTGTCTCTATGAAAGGTGATGGTGTTTATAAAAATTGTGAAGAAGCATTACTGAGAAACAATTATGTTAAATCAATCTACAAAATTCAGTGTATGCCCAATGGAGCAATTGCAAGCATTTTATGCTCACTGAATACAAATAATGAATATATAACACAAATTGATAATGATGTTGAGCAGTATAAAATGCTTAAATCTGAAACTCATCTAATTCTTAGTATAAGATATGGAAATTTACCTACTGAAGAATTGAAAACACTCTTAAAATATTCTGGAATTTGTTCACAAAAAATGCATTTTATAGGAGAAAACACGCATCAGAACCACTTGTCTTTTAAATTTATAGATAATACAGAGTTTAAATTAAATGAATTTCAAGATGGCATTTGTAGATGTTTAATCACAACAACTTGTATTGAAAACAATGATTCTAATGCAACTTGTCACCATACTGGACCAAATGATTATAGTCAGAATTTCAACATTTCCGGTAAAATTGCTGTTTTACCAAAAAGATTACCTTTAGTTCGCACTAGATATGGTGATATTGATGGTGATAATGAATTTGCAAAACATTATATAGGCCCATTGGTGTGTGCTACTCCACCTACTATTGAATTTTTATCATGGAATGGATGCTCTAAGAACACTCTTCTTTTATTAGATGATGATGAACACTCTTGCATACAATTTCAATCTCCTTCCATTTTAATTCGTATTCAATATAGAGATATTCTGAAAATGTATAGTACATTTAATGATACTCTTAAAGCTGTTGTTTACGAAAAGAGAGGGCTAACTCAAATGACAGTGTGTAAAGAAATACAGAAATTACAATTCCAATGTAGTAACACAGCAAGAGAAGTTGTTGCATTTTTATGGAATGAAATGCAAAATGGATTTGAACTCTGTGAAATTAAAATGTAAAGTACTATTCACCTATAAATATATTAAACTTTTTTTTGTTGTTTGATATTTGGCAGAGTGCCAAGATAATCAAACAGTCCAATAAACTCTCTATAAATGGTCAACGCATTGATTGTTCATCCAATAATTAGATCAAACAGGCTGACTTTTGTTTTATAATTAAATATTCAGGTAGTTGTGCCAAACATTGAAAGAAACTTGCCTACTATTCTTTAGTGAAACTAGTTATTAGTCAAAGAGTAAAATGGGAATTGTCAGAAAAAATGAACATTTAAAGAGAACTTTAGGGGATAAAACGGATGATGAAATCAATTGCAGTAGTTTGAAACCACATTCAACATTCCGTTGCCAGAATGAAATTGTTTTTCTACCTTTATATAAAGTTTATGATAAAATCTTATATCATTCAGAGCGATAATTAAGTATTTAACTATCAAATCATAAATTATTTATGTATTAGAGCTTTTCTAAACTCCTTTTTATGGACCTTATGTTATCATCAGATAGTGATTTTGAAAACAATCAATCTGATATAAAGTGTGATAACACCACCTTGTGAGGTTTTAGTATATTTAATTTGTAAATAAATATGTATACAGATGTACTGTGTTAGCAATCTGTCTAAATTTTAATTTTCTGTCAAGCTCACGAGCAGACTCGGCTGTGCTTTTATAGCTAACAGTCAAGCATTGCTCAACGTGGTTAGGGTTACTGTGCACTTAGATATAATGATATATCATTATTTAGGGGGTCATTTTCAGAAATTCTATGGACATTTTTCATGACGTCCCAATATTTAGAATTTAGATATGAAGGTACATTAGAAAGACTTCTATTTCGAAGGAATTAGAATTGTCCAACTTTGGAAAGACTTTTATTTCGTAGAGTTAGCTTTTAATACTTCAGAAAGAAGTACAAATATGGAGCAGCTGACAGTCCATAATTCAACTTTAAGGAATAATATTTTGGTTTATGAATGTGACAAAATCAGAGCAAAAGAAATAGATGAGTATCTCTCTAAAATAAATGAATTAATGTTGAAAATTAAAGGTAGTGGAGCCAAAGGTGACGGTAATAGCTTTTTGAAATACCATTCATTAACTGGGGCAGCCACAATTCCTGAAGGTATGGCAAACCTTGATCCTACCCAAGTTGAATAAAACCTGTAGAAGAGAATTCCCTATTGGAAATCTTCAACCTCTCTGTAGGTGTAGGTTATTAGACCCTGATGAGCTGAAGAAATTTCCCAATATTTTGTATCCCAGAAGAAATTCTTGCAGATCAAGGAAGGAATTTTCTTGAGGAAATTTTTACAGAAATTGTATCATCAATCCGAATAAGAAAAATAAAAAAAACAGCATTTCACAGCCAAACTAATGAAATGGTAGAAAAGAGAGAATTTGGAAATATTCAAAGCACTACATAAACATCTGCTTATGGAACTATTGACAGATTGGACAAGACAATTACCAATAATTCAAACATGTTTAAACCAAATTCCAGTTGGAAGCACAAGCATCATTCATCATGTAAAACCTAACTTTGCTATTGATTGGGATAGAGTTTTCAAGTTTGGTACATATACTAATACTGGTACACCGATTTCAACTATTTTGGCTTTTTGTTGAAACTTTATAAATGATATCAAAAAGTTAAAAAGAAAAGATTTACAAACATGCAAGAGTGTTGACAAACTTTCCCAATCCTTGGCATTGATGAAGTTTTTGACAAGTTTAAATAATTTACTGGATATTAATTATTTAAAAAATGATTTATGGTCAGAATATCATAAAGAAATTGAATCTCTAGATTTTTATATGTCAAAACGAATTTTTTATTGAGAAATATTCACAAAAAGTTATTAACTATTGACTAAAGAAGATATTTGTTAAATCTTTGAAATGTTAATGATAACTGGTATCAAAATATCTGGAAAAATATTGGTGTGTTTTTGTATTGAATTTATGGTTTTACTATTCCATCATTTTCTTTTTTTGTAGAATTTTCCTAATATTATTTCCAAATTGTAGCAAATCATTTTTTTCATTCTCTTCATTTAAAGTTTGAAATTGAGAACAAACGATAAAATAATCTTTCTTTTCCTTTTCCTAAGAAGATAAATAACAATAATTGACTTGTGCAATATCAATGAGTAGTGTAACAATTGGGATCAACAGAAAACGGCCCCAAGTAGGATATTTGAAGGCAGCATTTTGGGTTAAGAAATGGAAACTGCCAACATTTTTATAGCTGTTCGTTTTAAAAGAAATGTCAGAGGTTATTCATATGAATTTTTGACAAACCGTCTGCTAGAGTGTCATCTTTCGCTGTTTGTAAAGCTGAATAACTGAAAGTGGTTTTAAAATGGGGTTAAGTGTTTAAAAAACTGGTAAAAAGTTTGAAGACAAACAAATTTTCCTTTCGGGATTTTTGATGTTCTTTAATGAAAGAAACGAGCTCATTGGATGAATAAATAGTTGGATTTAAAAGGGAGTTTATTGGAACAATTAAAATTACAATGATACTGTAGACGTCATTTTGAAAGTGAAGTTTAGAAAATATTCCCAAGTTTCCTATAATCGATAGAGGGAGCCAGCACAGAAGGATTGTTAACGCAATTAGAAAAACTGTTTTTGTTAGAACAACTGTCTGTCTTTTTTTAAAATTAGCTTGGAATTCATTAATTGACGATGTAAACTTGTAAAGTATTTGAAAATACAAAATTGCAATGAAAAGGTTAATTACAAAGGTAAAAACACCAAATACTATAAACGAATATAGCCATTCCTGTGTTCTATCGCTGCGAATATGTATATTAAAACAGATGGGAACGGTTGATTCAGATTTCTGCAACAAAATTCTGGAAATGTATAGGCCTAATTCTCCATTATGATTTAACTACTTGATATAAAAATACAGGTGTTATTGCTAAAAGAAAACTTATTAAGAGTACTATTAATACAATTTTCCAACTATCTCCTATTGGAATCTTGTACAATGATAACGGGTAGACAATAGCTTTATGCCTTTCTATGGCAACTGATAGGATAGAAATAGAAGATAGAATTAATGAAAAAGTCATGACTATCTCCAATGTTTGGCATTGGATACTTCTTCTCCAAAAACGAATCGGCTTCTAGGTAAGCAGTACCAAAATAAAAATCGGCTACAGCCACGGAAGTGACGTAGAACGACGTTAAAAGATCAGAAAATGATGTAAGAAATCTGAATTTTTTTGATACTTTTACACTGGAAACAATTAGCAAAAGAGAGACGCCATTGCCCAATAAACCGGCTATTCCAATTGTCCATGAAACAATTCTTGTCATTCGCGAACTAAGTAATGTTGAACAAGTGAAATATATTGAAAAATTCGGCCGACAGTCTACCAGTTTTCCACGATATTTCCAAGCGAAACAACACAATTTGAAACTATTGCTAACAATCTTCTCAATTTTTCCAAATCTATCCAAACGGATTTTTTCTGTAATATCGTCCACAATTGAATTACGTAAATAAATTTCAACGAGATTTATTTGAAAATTTAAAAATCCATTCGTAACGTGTTTAAAAGAACAATAATTCAAATTTAAAATTCTTAAATAGATAAGAGACTGAAAATCTTTTATTGACAATTCAAGTAATTTATTAAAAGACAAATCTAGAAATAAAATTCTTGAGTTGGCCGCCATTTTGTTGATTGTTAATGTTGCAGTAGACCTTTAGAAGAGTATCAGTTTTACAATGTCTATTTTGAATTTCTTTTTCGGAACAAACAAGTTCATCGCTACCGAAGAGACAATCGACAATTTCATTACACACTTGACTCTTTTTACAATCTTAAAGCTTTAGGGTTATAACTAAAAAATAACATTTTAAAGCCAATTAACATTTACCTTTCACTTGATTTGTAAGACTTTCCCTGCCAAAACACTTTTCATCAGTTGTATCGAAACAATTCCTTTCATTATTACACAACAATCCTTCATTAATGCATTGTTTATTGCCGCATTGTTGTATTTATTAATATGTTTCATATTAATACAAATATTTCATCATTTTTGTACAACTTCCTGTCTGAAAAACACCAAATTGCCAAAAAATATTTATTAATTTAACTCTTAAGGCTCTTTTGTAAAATTTGACAAAAAAATCTTACGACAAAATTCTTCGTCGGAATGATCGATACAATCAAAATTATAATCGCAAACTAGATGAAGATGAATAGTTTGCTTTGAATTATGACAATGAAATTGTTCATGTTCAATTACACCAGAACAATTCTCTTCATCCTCTCCAAGTGGACAATCATTTTCTCCATCGCAAACATAAACTACATTTATACAAATTTTTGTCCGAATGCAAAGAAACAAATACAATGAACAATTAAAATGGTCGAGTTCAATCATAAAGAAATTATAGTCAAGTTTCTTTTTTAAATTTGGTATTTTTTGACAAATGATTTCATGATATTCAATATTTGTACAAGTTGTTGGAATTACTTTCGTAAATTTGTTGTAAATTTTGTAAATTAGACATTTGGCGCGATTGAGTTGTTGATTCGATATGTAGTCATTAACAAAGGATTTTAGATATTCTTTCTTTAAAAACATGTAATCTGTAAGATAGTCAAGTGGATAGGAAAGTCCAGTAGCTTCAATTGTTCTATTATTAATATCGGGGTCGGGTCAGAACGCCCCAGGTCAGTACGCCCCAGGTCAGAACGCCCCAATTTTGGGTCAGAACGCCCCATTCTTGATTTTGAACGCCCCACTCATGAGTCAGAACGCCCCACTCTCTTTAGAGAATTATAGAAAACAATGCTGAGAGAAAAATATTCTTATATACCAGTTATTATAAATATTTTTACCAGTTTTTTTTTTATCAGTTTATTCTCAGAAATTGTGTTGCTTAAATATAATTCATCTTAGTATAATTAATTTTTTTGCTGTTAATGTCTCACTGAAAAAAGGAGGATGAATTTAAAAACTTGTTGGAAATGTATGAAGAAGTTTCATTGGACTCAAAAGAAGTTTAGATGCAAATTATGTAGGCACTTTTACCATGCTAAATGTTCAAATAGTAAGATTTTATTCTTTAATATTTCTTTTCTATTTAACCATTTCCTCAGATGCAGATTATTGTATAGACTGTTTTAATATAAAAAACAAAAAGCTAATTGTTAAAATAAAAAAGCTGGAAAACAAAAAATCACCAACATGTTCAAAAGTATTTGGAAATGAAACTGTTAGTGAAAGTTCAAGTTCCGAACAGGTACAAAATATTTAACAAATATCTGTTAAAAAAACTATTTAATGTTTTACTATAGCTGAGGTTATCTTTTGACTTTGAATCTAATTTCCCTGATGTTTCAAGTACTCCAGGGAATAATGGAATGGAGAGTTGTGATAAAGATATTGATATTGATAATGATGGAATTTCAAGAGAAGATCAACATCAACCTGCTAAAATTGTTACAGAAAATAGTCCAGTTGTAAGAAGAATTGATATAAATAATGAATCTTCTTTTAATGATACAAGAGAGCTTTGTCTAAATGATAATTTAAAACATGATTTTGAAATATTTAAGAATGGGAGCAGAAAAGGAAAAGATATTCTTCTTCACAATAATTTTACTTATACTGTAAAAAGATCAAGTGAAACAACCATTACCTGGAAATGTAGTCAAAGAACTAAAAAATCACCATGTCTTGCATCTGTAATTCAAAAAGATTTAAAGTTCATTTTGAAAAATTCTAATCACATTCACAAAAGAGAGAAAAATGATATGAGAAAAATTATTGAAGCAAGGTTAAATTTAAAGGAAGCTGCAATTATTGATAAAGACAAATCTGGTAAAAGAATTGCAGAAGATATCAGTCTGAAGTTCAGAAAGGATATTTCTCATATTCCAAGCATTGATGTCATGAAAAGATCTGCTAATAGATACAGAGAAGGTGCCAGACCAAAGCACCCAGAAAACATTATGTTTGAATTAAATTTAAATGAAATTCCAGATAATTTTTTCTTAAAAGATATAAAAGGGAAGAAAAGCCGAAACATGATGTTTGCAACTGACCATCAAATTAAATTATTGAAACATTGTAAGATATGGTTTATTGATGCCACATTTAAAATTGTGAGAAAACCTTTTTACCAATTGTTTACAATTCATGGATTTATAAGAAAAGAAGGTGAATATAAACAAGTTCCTTTAATGTTTGTCCTCATGACAGGAAAGAAGAAGAAACATTATTCATTGATATTTGAGGTTGGCTTTCTAAAGTAAATATTTGAGTAAAAATTCTAAAGATATATTTTTCTTTACAAGGAGTTAAAAATCTTAATAGATGGAAAAAGCCCAAAAAAGTTTGTTCTTGATTTTGAAAAAGCTCTTTGGATATCTTTAAAAAATGCTTTTGTTGATTCTGATCTACAAGGATGTGCTTTTCATTTTAAACAAGCAATTCTTAAAAACATACAGGTAAATTAAAGTAATTATAACAATTCTGTTACAGATTTAATTTGTGAAATTAAGAAATTAACAAATACAAATTTTCTTTTTAGAAATTAGGATACATCAAGGACTATAAAATGAAAGGTTATAAAGGAAATGTGTTAAGAAAACTAATGTGTCTAGCATACTTACCAGCATCATTCATCAAACAAAAGTTTTATCAAATTAAAGAGGAACTTTTGGAACTGAATTTATATGCTGATCTTCTTGAGTATATGGAATCTACTTACATTGAAAGCAATATTTGGAAACCAGAAAATTGGTCAGTTTATAAATTAATAGTTCGTACAAATAATCATGTAGAGTCTTGGCACACAAGAATCAATCAAAATTTGAAAAGCAATGAAAACTTTTATACTCTTATCACTGAACTTCATAGAGAAAGCAGCCTTATTGAAGTTTATGAGGATATGTTGGTGGAAAATAAAATGAGACAGAATCAGAAGAATAAATATAAAGATTTGCAGGATATTATCTTTGAGTTGTGGAAGAAGTTTGAAGTAAGAGAATTAAGTTTAGATAATCTCTTAAAGGGTTTAATTGACTTGAACATTGCTTGAAAAATTATTTCTTTTTTTGTGATCACTTATTATATTTGTTTAAGCTTTTGTACTTTAAGACAAAAAATACATTATGCATATATATTTTTATATTCAATTGACTTTTTTTAATTTAATAAGTACAGCATTAAAAAATATTATGTTCTTCAAAAATCAGTGGGGCGTTCTGACTCATGAGTGGGGCATTCGAAATCAAGAATGGGGCGTTCTGACCCAAAATTGGGGCGTTCTGACCTGGGGCGTACTGACCAGGGGCGTTCTGACCCTAAGCCATTAATATCAACTGTGGTGTGTAAAGCTAGAAAATACAAAAACCAAAATTGAAGAGAGAAAAATATAATAAATGATTTGGTTACCATACTTTCAATGGCTGATAATAGATCATTGGAAGAAGTGAATTTCTTCAAAATACTATTAGAAAATCTTGTTAAAGCTAAAACATGAATAGTAGAGGAGAGAGTTTGAAAATCTATGAGAGTATAATTGAATATCTGGCAAAAGGCAGACATTTCCAAATTTGATAATGGATTATCAAAATTAAAGAATTTATAACAAATATTTCGAAATGATAAAACATCCTTTCCAGTACAGTTATCTTTATGGATAAATGTTTATTTAAATAACAGAGGTCACGTGTTATATAGAAAATTACTGAGAATGCTTGAACATTCAATTTGAAATATGCCACTTCTTGAATAGCTAGATTTTGTTTAATACAATAGGTTTATTGAATTCTTTGAATGGGTAGGGCTAACCTCTGATGCAGGTCGTCTTCCAGAGAGCATTCTTCTTTGAGATTAGTTGCATTTTGTGGACATTTCATTGTAAGAAAATAATAGAATCTCTCAAAAGAGTTGACAGTTGTTTTCTCCCAAAAAAACTTATCGTGGTATGAAAGAAGAGTTCCAGATTCAAATCCAAATTTTGAGCATATAATGTTCACATCATTCGAAAATAAGTAGCGAAAAGTATGAAATGGACAAACCTTTAAGTTGTGAGAAAATGCATTTATATTGTTGTGGAAATGTAATATTTCTTGCCTTCATTTGAATAATTGAACAGCTCAGATTTCTATTAAAAATACAATATTTCCGCTTTTCAATTCTCTTTTCAATGTTATTAATATTTTGAATAAAAAAGTTGGCTTTATCACAAATTTCAATATTTTCTTTATCATTTGAAAAAATTTGATAAATTTTTTCGAAACTACTCAAAAATAATAGATATTTTTTTCTTGTCTTTAAATTCGACTTTAACGCAAAAATATCTAAAGAAAACAAAATAAAATAGTAATTTTTTTTGACTAGAATTTACTTTAGCAATAATTTGATTTTTTCTTGAAGCATTTCAAACACAATCCAGATTTGTCATTTTCAGATGATAACACTCTGGAAAAAAAGAAAAGAGTAAGTATTTTTAAATGACAAAAAAGAACTCAATGAAAATGACTAACTTAATAAATATTCCTTTTTTATTTAGGGAATATGTTGCAAAATATTTCTTTACGGGAAATAAACACTGAAAACCAACTGAATGAATGTTATCATAATTTAATTTATGGCAAAAAAAATTGTATATTTCAAATTGAAAAGATAACTGTTTCACAGTATAATTCCTGTTTAACTTTCCATATTTCCACAGCTGTAAAAGTCCTAGGCTAAACACTTGATTTTCTTCAAAGATATCCAAATGAAATTGATCATTTTTTATATGTTGAAATACAGTCCCCCCAAAAAATCTATGGCAGGGTTGTTCTTGAAATGAAAAATGTGAAATATTTAAGTAACAGGACTTGCTTAATTACGTTTTGTATTTTTAGCTCTAATAGTAAACTAATTTGAATAATATTTGTTTAATGTCATAGCCTATAGTCTACTCTATAAAAATTAACTATTTGAGTTTTTAATAGTCCCCCCCCCCCATTGTTTATACATGTCTGCCATTTGGATGGTAGTAAGTCAATGCCGTTCCGATAAAAGGAAGATGGTTTTCTCCTCAGAAATTCCCTGATATCTTTTTTTAGCTCATCTAAATTATCAAATTATCATAGTCAACTCCCCTGATATGATCTTTTAGTTGTCCAAACAAGTAATAGTCAGATGGAGCCAAATCAGGGCTGTATGGGGGATGTGGACATATAGATCATCCCTTATTCATCATAAAATCTATTGCGTATAGACTGGTATGGGGTCTGGCATTATCATGTTGTAAAATGATCTGTTTTTCAGGCCTTATCCTATGCAGTCTCTTTCTTAATCTCTTCAGGGTCTCCACATACTGGATGGAGTTGACTGTTTCACCATAATCCATGAATTCAACATGGATTAAGCCTGAGCGGTCCCAGAAATTTTTTCTTCCCTTTTTTATATTAATAACCCACCTTCTTACTGAACCTTCACTCAGAGTTTCATCACCACAATAGCTTTTTAACTGTGTGTGAATGTTCTTTGGAGAGGCCTTCTCGTGTACTAAAAATGAAATAATTTTTCGTTGATCGGAACGTGTAGGCATGACTAGCAGTTGCTTGCACCAAAATAATTTTGTAATGGCTTGACAGAACCAGGTGAAAGTTTTCACAATGAAAGCTAACAGATTAAGTAATATATTTGGAAAGTATCAATACTATTAGTGAACCCGTTTTAAAATTACAGCAAAGCATCTACAATATACAGATCGCACCTAATATTTTAATGTAAGGTTTCATGTCTATATAACAGTAATATTTAGCCTATATGGCAACATTATAAATATAATTTAGATTAGATAATGATAAGAGTTAAAGTGAACTTTGCCTTTCAATTGTTTACAGCATGGTCTCTTTTTTCCAATTTTTTGTTAAAGTTGCCAATATTAATGTTGATAAAAATTTCAGTTTAAAACCTTATCAACAACTTCAAAATAAGAATGTTGATGTTAGATTTATGACTAAAGATGATATAAATAAAGTTCATGCTTTGTGCTATGAAGCATTTTATGAACAATGGATATTTGCATATGAAAATAAATCATTTGAATTAAGTCGTGTCATAACTGCAGATTCTTACAAAAGCAATGAAGAAAAAATGAAAAATGTTTTAATTGCTACTGTAGACAACGAAATAATAGGAATGTGCGAATTAAGTTTCTATAAACGGTTGGTATAGTTTCCTTTTCGAAATGAAATATTTTAAATATTATGTTAATATTTAAAAAAACTAGAAAATCTAAAACATTTACAATAGATTTCTTTAAATCTATAACACATTTTCCATTGAAGTCAATGATTATTACTCTCGCTACAATTGGTATGTATAATCATATAGCAACTAAAGAGCCAGGAGAGGCTACAGTTGATTTTCTAGCTGTAAATAAATATTCTAGAGGTCTGGGTGTAGGAAAAATTCTTTTGTCAAAAGCAGACGAATTGGCAATGCAAAAGAGTTGCAATGTTTGTATTGACGGTTCTATTAAATATCTTTTAAAATATTTCTCTAAATAATTTGCTTCTTTAAATAGAAAATATCTCTGTTAGTTGTATTTTCTAATTATGGAGCTAGAAGATTTTATGAAAAATGTGGATATTCTTCAACAAAAGCATTTATCTTTAAGAAATGGTTTCTATGGGGAAATGAGGTAATTTCTTTTGTTAGAAAATTTATATATTTAATCAGTCTTTCTTTTCTAAAAGGGAGCTTTTAAAATGGAAAAAAACCTATTACCAAACACTGTACACTGACTTACACCTTTGTTGTTTACTGAGCGATTGAATGGATTCAAAGTATCGATTTATATATTTGATTGAATTAATCTTTCAAGAAATCAGCTTAAACAATACACAATAACAATAAAAGGGAGTTATAGTTCAGCAACATCTGATCTAAGGGAATGTGGCCAATGTATGAAATAATTCTGTAATGTAATGTAATAGGGGAGAAATACACAAAAGAATGTAAGCAGGGGCAAATTGATCTCTAAACAAGATACACCCAACTTTTAATGATGCAGCTATATCTAGTTATATCCAGTATATTCACTTAATGAAAATGTACCACAATAAAATAAATAGTTCACAGCCTCAATTAGTCTGATTAATTATTCTAATGACTTTATTTTCATCCTCATGCTCAATACTATAAAAGAAAATACTGTTCTTCAGCAATTGCACATACAAAATAGTTGTACCAGAAAAAAGACAAAGAAAATGAATGTGACATTAGATCCCGCTTATTTGGATACTGGAAACAGTAGCAGCAGCAGTAATGATAGTTTATCTATTGTGGAGAAGTTTACAGTACTAATAACACCAATTATTTTTATATCAGTTGGTATAATTTTTGGAATTCCATTTAATATGATATCAATAATTACAATACTAAAAGGTAGTCTATGGAAGACTACCTTTTTCAGGTATATGTTAATTGTCACATTTGCAGATCTCTTGATAATAGTTGGTAATGTGATTAGAGGTATATATTTTCTAAATATAAGAATTGTTGATGAGAAAGTTGCTCTTTGGATTGATTGTAAACTTTTTAGATTCCTTTACTTTTCTTTCACACAAATTTCATCTTTAACTCTTATAGCTGTAACTTTTGATAGATTTTTGTGTATTGCGTATCCTACTAGGGCAAAAATTTGGTCTACACTCAAAGTTTGTAACATAGTTGTTGCAGGTATAATTTTCTATGGAATTGGAATGGATTTAGTCAAATTGGTTGCAAAAGAAACACCTACTAGATATTCTCCAACAGCAGTTCATTGTGCTCCAAATGACCCAGATGTCAGAGATTTTCTTGAGAATTACTTTTATGTAAATCACAATGTGATTTATTCATTATTTCCATCAATTGGTATGGGAATATTGAATACTCTTATTCTTTATAAATTAAGAGTTCATACTAAAAAGATGGGCGATTTTGGAGAAAAAACTAATAACTCCAAAGATAATAAACTTAAGAGAACAACAAAGAAACTAACTATCTTAACTCTTCTATTATCAACAACATTCATCATTACAACATTTCCTGTTTCTGTCATTAATATTCATCTTTTAAAATTTGCACCACACCTTTATCAATCTCAAACCGTACTCGTGATTTATGAATTTATATTAATCATTAATAGCTTGAATCACGTGATCAATTTTATATTTTATTGCGCATGCGGTGAAACATTTAGGAGTGAATTATTAACATTGATTGGTTGTAGTAAACCTATGTCAATAACAAATACTCAAACCAGTAATTCTGTGAAAAAATGAAATTGAAGGGAAAAATTTTTCAGAATTTGCAATCATTTGAAATTCTTGAAATTCAATAATAATGATAATAATGATGTAGACATTACGTTTATCCATATTCAAATAAACTCCCTTGTCTAGGGTCAAAAGTTAATAAATCAAATGAAAAAATAATTGTACCTATAAATTAGCTAATTTTTTTAAACTTTCTGTGATGCATTTTCAAACTTAGTGAACAAAATCTTGGGTTTTAAAGTCTCATACAAGTCTGACAGTTTAGAAGATTGGAATAGAAACCCTATTAATTTATATAATGGCAAAAAATTCAGAATGGCTTTATCACCTTTGATGAGAGTTTTAAAATGAATAGTTAACTTTTTCTAAGTGATAGGTAGGGAGCGGGTAAACTCGTCCCCATTTTGTAACATCAAGTTTTATCATTTTTAAAAGAAATAAGAAAAAGTATATAAAATATATACTACCTAAATTTTTCCTATATTCATACAAATCTTTATATACATTTTTCTCAAAAGCTTCTTTTAAAGATGGAAAAATATGGGGTATTACTTCAGAAGGAAGAAAAGGAAGAGCCAATAAATTTCTCATCATATTTTTATACGCCAGACTAGTTTTATATTCAGTTGCATATCCCAAATTCTAAAAACATGAAATTATTACATAATTAAAATATGTAATAATATATGTTAGGGGCCAGGACATTTCGGCCCACTTTAGACATTTTGGCCCATTTTAGAGCATTAATATTCAAGAATATAACTTTCCATTTTATGATGGATTATGTTAATTTTTTCAATAAAAAAGAAAACAATTTCAAAACAGTAAAAGAATGATATAATATACTTTTCAATAACTAAAATGCAAAGTAAGAAATGTTAACTAATGTTAAAAAATATTTAAATGTACAAGTCTATCCAATAATTCATCCAAACTCAGTTCTCTTTTGTCCTGGGCAAAAATGTCCAAAAGTGGGCAAAAATGGGCAAAATGTCCTAAAGTGGGCCGAAATATCCTGGGCCAAAATGTCACTGCACTGATATATTACTTGGATTTTTCTGAAAACTGCTTGTGTTCAATGGAAGACACATCCTTGAATTGGTATATTTGGATAGACAGATGATAAATCAGTCCATAATCCTAACTCATAATCAGCAAAGAACTTTTTTAGTTTGGCATAATTTGTAATTGTTTGAATTTTTTAAAGAATATGATGAAATTTAGAGGTTAGATAAAATGTTTATTAACTTACCCTTAATACATGTTTCTATGCTTTCTTCTTCAATGTCATGAAAATAAATGCCAAAGGAATCTGCTTTGTTTCTTCATCTTTTTTAATAAAAGAATGGATGGAGAAAAGTTGAACAAATGGTTCTTTGACAACCTTAAATGTACCATCCAGATACCAAACTTTGCTTTTGGATAAAAGGTCACACTGTTGCTTGGAAGCAAATATGATTATTCTCTGATTTCCAAATGAAACATCTTTTTGCAGGAAATCGTCAGGAAGAAAATCAATATTTATTTCAAAAAAAGGATCATTTGATGTTATAGGTCAGTTCTTCTGTCTGGTGATATTGGCTAACCTCCTCAAATTTTCCCTATTTGGCAAACTATTCCCCTCAGCTGAACATTTTAATAAAATATCTTCAGCAATTTTTCTGCCTGATGACCTGATATCATTATTACAAATACTTCTAAGTTCTCTCCTTGCCTTTATACTTGATATTAAACTCTTCCTTTTTTCATGGTTATGATTTATATGACTTGAGACAAATATATTTCCTCTTTGTTTGATTGTTGCAGGACAAAATGTTTTTTTATTTCTGACAGAGAATCTCCAAATTAGCATATTCTCACTTCTTTTCTTTATATTAAAAGTAAATCCACAATGTGATAGAATGTCCTTGCCTCTCTGGCTTCCTCCAAGAAGAAGTGTGATTTTTTCATTTGGATCTCCTTTTTTCTTCCTCATTCATTTCAAATGAGTCCACTATAAAATTATTGTAATCCATACTATTTGCAATAGTTGTATCAGCTTCCACTTGTTGATTTTCAGAAATATTACCATTATTTGTGGCATCTAAATTGACATTTCTATCTAATCTCTTCAGTCTAACAAAACATGTTTTCTTGGTAATCATATTACAAGATTCACACAAGCCTTCAGTCATTTCTACTTTAATTAAAGAAATAAATTAAATATCTTAAAATCAATTGAATAATTACCTATACATGTATGATTGCAATATAAGCATTTCAATGTCATTTTGGGGTATGGTTCTCAAAGATTGCAAATCTGCTGAGTTGGATCTTTAAAAAAGAGCTTATTAAATATAAAGATATCTACCTTTGAAACACTTTGGTGGAGAAATTTTTGGCATTCAACACATTTTATCTTCTTTTTTTACCTTTACACTTGCAAATCATATGATCATCAAATACATTAAAATCTATTGAATTATTCTGCTGCCATTTAAATGAAAAGCAAAGTACAACGCTTGGAAATCTCTTCAAAATTTGATCCCATATAGAAAAAATAAATTTATCAGCAAGTTTACATATGGCAAATGGATTTTATGCTATATTTGATGGATTTCAGAAATCATTAAATATACATTAAGGGTTCTTGAAGTCTTTGGCTGCTCTTTGAATGCAGAGCAATGTACAAGACTTAGAAATCTTGTTAAAAGATTGTCCCATATAGATATAATATATTTTATAGCACTTTTAGAAGCAAGTAAATTTCAGAACCAACTAAAAAACATTTAAGTTTTTGTTACCAGGTGACATTTATATTTTTAGATTCATTTGATGATATTTTCCTGTTAAAAATATCCAGTACAAAGAGAATATGCCAATTTGATGAATTTAAACTCTCTAAAAGATTCCTTTGGCAAACTATTCAGGCGGCTTGGACCTAAAATATGCCCTTACTGCTGTTTTTAATTCATCATCATTTTCAAATATTTGTCCACAAAGATGGTCCTTTAATTTCCAGAAAAGATAATAGTTTGATGGAGCAAGATCTGGGCTTTAGGCTGGATGAGGCAGCATTACCCAACAAGATATTGGCTAGTTTGTAGGTGGTATACTTATACTATCATCCATACCATGCCACAACTAAAGTCTCAATAACTTTTCAACCAGAGCTTGTAAGTTGAGAAAGTTTTTAGTGATGGTACATTACTTAATTCACTTTCTATTAATGATAAAAATATAGGTCTACAGTGTACCATTTTAAAAATACAGCAAAATGGCAAGAATTTTTTGGGTGACCCTAGTATTTTGGATACGACAGAAAACGTCCCCAAATGCACGGTTTAACCCCAACCCTAACCTAGCCCTTGTCTCTCCTTAACCTTTTTGATTGCTCCTAACCCTTAGATGGATTATTTGTGTAATTATTATCTCCTTGAACTTTTTTCTTTTTCTATGATTTTAGCCTCTAATGTTCAAAGATTGCAAATTGTTTTTTCTATAAAAGATTTGCCATAGAGGCGATCTGAGCATTCAAACTTTATGGTTCAGGCAACTCTTTGTTCAATTTATTTTCACTACTTTAATAGTCTGTGTTCCTGAACTTGGAGTTATTCAGTTGAAGCAGCGAATTTGCAAATATGACATTCCTAAAGATATTTTACATTTTTCTGTTTTCTTTTCTGTCAGTAAATTTCTGTAGACATCTATATTTGTGTTCATCTGGTCAGAGAAAAAAATCCAGTAAATGGAAGATGTATTGATCCTCAACCAGCATCTAGGCCATTTACTTGGTAACAGAACTGTAATGCTGTCCCTCAAGATTGTGTAAACTATGGGCTCGAATATGATATATCACATTCATTCGCAGAAGATTTTGACTGTTTTAATGGAGGACGTGCTATACGTTGTGTTGTAAAACCAAAACCAAAACTATCTACAACACCAGCCAATGAATTCAAATTTTTGATGTACAATATATTTGAGCGTTTCTACTTTGTAAGTGTTGATGGTCAGAGAGAAAGAACTTGCAGAATACCTTCATGGATATTGGAAACTATTCCAGATGTCGATGCCATTGCTTTCCAAGAAGTGTTTCTTGGTGGCTGTGATGAAAACAACTTGTCTTTGAAAAAAGTACTCTCTTACTATGGTTTCAAGTATGCAAAATCCATTGTAGACAGTATATTAGCAATAAATGGTGGAATATTTATTACTTCAAAATGGCCGATAGTAAGAGAAGAAAGTTATATATTTAAAGCTGTAATTTTTTTTACAGCAGAAATTTTTGTAGCAAAAGGTGTCTCATACGCCAGAATTGAGAAAACTGTTAATGGTGTTACAATGCTCTATAATTTAATGTCAACTCACTTACAAAGTGGAGGTGGTGATGATAATACTATAAGAGAAGCTCAGTGTCAAGAAATGGCATCATTTACTCAGACTCTAAATATACCAGCAAATGAGTCAGTCCTTTATGCAGGGGATCTAAACTATAGACTAGATGAATTAAGTTTACAAACTTGTGTAAACTTGCTTAATTCTAATTAAGTCACCTAATTCTATTTAGAAGATATTCATTTATGTCTATGTTTAATCTAATATTTAAGACAGAAAAAATAAAAAATGTTCAGCCTATCAAAATTTATGGTGTTCCAATTTTTTTACTGTATACACTTAAACAAACAAAAAAAAAACAGGCCTTTTTACCTGATTACTGGAATGAGATCCTTTGTGTACTAGACCTTTAAACTCATTCATATTGTTAGTTGAAATGTTAACATTTTGGAATTTTTGTTGCTAAATTCAAATCTGAATATATTAATATAATGCAATGTTCTTCGACATAACCCAGTAAAAGCCTTTGCATAGCTAAATCATTGAATTTAATGTATATTTCATGTCTAAAAATAAGATGTTTACTTCCAGAAAAGCCTAAATTAACAGTAGCTGGAATCAAAGAATTAAAATAATTTGATAATAATGTTATGGAAAGAAATTATTGTATGATTTTGGATCGGCATAATGAACTATGGAATCATTCCTTGGCTATTGAGCATTTTTTCCAATTTAGACACTACAGTATATCTTTTCAAGAGACATTTAAGGATGGATGCTGCTTCAACACACTCAACTTGTGAGATATTTTGATTCCTCAAAAATTCCCTGATGTTTTTTTTTAGCTCATCTAATTTTTGGTAATCAACTCCCCTGATACGATCTTTCACTCATCCAAACAGGTACAAATTAGATGGGGCCAAATCAGGGCCGCATGGGGGATATGGACAGACAGACCATCCCTGATTTCTGATAAAAAGAGTTGTGTGCAGACTGGTATGGAGTCTTGCATTGTCATGTTGTAAAATAATCTGTTTTCCAGGCCTTATCCTATGCAGTCTCCTTCTTAATCTCTTTAGGGTCTCCACAAATGCTATTGAGTTGACTGTTTCACCATAAATTCAAGATGGATTAATCCCGAACAGTCCCAGAAAACTGTACACATCAGTTTTTCAGCTGATTTAGTCATTTTTAGCTTTTTTTCAGGTGGAGATGATGTGTGTTTGTAGGTTAGCTGAAATAAATACAAAGGAAAGAAGGTATCTATGAACTTGATAAATTATTCCAGTTACAGGAAAACAGCTATTTGATATGCAGTCATCATAGAGGTGATCATTTCTGACTTTGATATTTTTTAAACATCACACAACAAAAATAGTGAAATTTTTGGGGGAGGGATTATCATGGCTTTTGGTTATATCAAGTTTAATGGAAATAAGGACTTAGGTATAGTGTTTCATTATAAGAGGGCATTAGACTATAACAGAGTATTCAGCAAACGCAAAAATTTCCAGCAGGATAGGGTTAGTTGTCAAACAGCAGCCACAACAAAAAAATATTTTAAGAGAGTGGGTATCAAAGGGGATCTTTTGAAAGCGAGCATTTTGAAGTTATTTTGGGGTAAAATTTTGGGTTGGGAATGGGTTAGAAAAAATATTTAATCAGTTGACTTGTAATTAGATGGGTCCAAACTAAGGGTTAGGATCTATGATGCGCTTAAAACAGCAGACCAACTGCTAAATTGAACATGTTCAATCAACAGATAAAGCATTCCTAGCATAAACTTTATATTAAACATATTTTAAAAATTAAATTTGTATTTGAAATTGCTGTTTCGTCAGCTATAAAATCATGAAGGAATATTTTTTTTACTTCATCCATGTTAAAATAAATCACCCAGGACCTTGACCCTGACTCTTGATTGAAATCGAATAAGATGTACAAAAGGTTTTCATGAACATGAACAAAATAATCCAAAGACTTTTGAAAATGATATTGCACTTTTTTCGAGTTAACAAAAAAATGCAATTTAATAAATACATTAACTAAAATTAACTAGGAAAGAAAAGTGTTATTGTTAATTTTATATATAAAAGACAATCAGGATATCCAAGAATATATTAATCATTGAACTTGGATCAATTACTCATGTAGTAATGTCAAAAATTATTTCAATACTCTTTACAGTATCCAAACTATGTATTTTACATTAATCTTTGTAGATCTCATTGAATCTTACTCTTAAAACCATTAGAAGAAGATCAAATGTTTACATTTTGCATTAAAATATCATTTTTTCAAAAACAACTAATTAGACATACAACTGCTGTTGGCAAAAATGTTTTAAAATCATTACATTCAATATGCCTTTAATTTTTCATTGTATTCTTATAATTGTTATTAATTTTGTATCTGAAATTTTACCATATTGTCAATACTTCAAAGGAAGGTTTTTAATGAATTTTGAACAAGAAAATGCGAATTTTTTCCTTGAGAAAATAGAAGAAAATGAATATTTTAGTTATGGAATATTAAATATTAAAATATTAGTAACAAACAAAACTGGAAAAATTGCTTTTATTCCATTTTCACAAACTCAATTTACAACTGAATTTGTTCAAAATATTTGCTATTCAATGGGATATGATCCAAAGTTTAACCTGATTCAAGGATGCAAACTAAGGAAATATAGTAAGATAAAATTATGATTTTTTTAAAATAAGAATTTCTACATTCCCATTAGAAAAACCAGAATATGTTTTGGCATTTGATGATAACAAAGCTGAATTGTAAGTTGTGAATTGTTTGTGTAAATTTCTTGTTAAAATAGTTTTAAACTTCTTCTCAAAAGGTATTCGTATAACCATCTTAAGAATGTCAAGATAGCTTTAATGTGCCTAAAATGTTTCATTACTAATAAACCTTGTAAAGAGAGAAGCAAAATATATATAGTAGAAAATATCCATGATTTCCATTCTTATATCTAGGTATTGAATAATAACAAAATGATTAAATATACAGAAAGAAAGGATATTTTCTGTTAATTTTAAAAATGATAATATAATATAAAAGTAATTTCTCACCTTTTGTACTAGTTATGTTTGCCTATGAAATAAATAGACATTCAAAGTATCAACTGTATGTAAGATATAATGGACAAACTATTCTCTTATTCAGAGATCGTAATGTAAAGAATGAAAATCTATGCAAAAGAGCATTATTCTATCGACAGAATCATGAAAATATTTACCTAGTTAATGATAAATCTGCTATATTACAAAATAATGGATCATTTAAATTTTACTTAATTAATCAACTCAATGATTTTAGTAAACAAATTTTTCTTTGTAATTTTCCCGAGTTAAAAGGTTGATGGATGAAAACGCAATTCTTTTCATCTTCTTATTTGGATTTTTTTTTTTCTAGATTTTGTTATTGAAGAAATGCCAAATTTGTTTCAGGAGATAATTTTTGGAAAATACTTTCCAGTTGGAATATCTTTTATGGTTAATTCAAAAACGATGGGACATTTTCCATTGATTTTCAATGAGAAAGAGGATAATTTTAAGATGGGATCATCTTTATGTAAATTAAGTAATAAAATACTTGGACCAAGCTATAAAGTTATGAATTTTGGAAAATATAGAATGTTAAATTTTAAGAAAAATTGTAGAACAATTAGTAACAAATTTTATGATAATTCAATATCATTTTCAAATTGTAACTTGAAGAATAATGATTTTTCTACTTGTAAAATGTCAACTACTCGTTATTTTATTAAAGCATTATTTATATTCTGTGAAGCAGGATCATATAAAGGTTTTCATCTTTAGTTTTTCTTTCTGTTTTTAAATACACAATATTTCTATAATCAAGAAAATTTTTTCTATAGATTTTCATTATAGACTTTTCAGAAACACTAAAAGTATTTTAAATTTTAATACAAATCACAATCTTACACATTTTGTTGGGAATTTACAAATACTTTATAAAAATGTTTGGTTTCAAACAACAGTTGAATCATTAAAATTTCAGCAATTGAATTATCTGTGTAAAACATTTGGTTTTAAATTTGGCAAAATTTTTAGCTATACCTATAAATCAGCAAAGTTTCTAAACTATTATCTAAGTATGAAATGTACTCAATTGAAAAATGAAACTAGATCTTTGTGTACTGTAAATGCAAATGATGAAATAATAAATTCAGTTTTAAACAGTAGACAAGAAAGAAAATTTTTTTATGTTGAAATAAAATGTTTAAATAATGGTCAAGGTCTTTTTTGTAAATTTAAAATATAATTTTTAAAATGTCTCTTACTTTTATATGGTTGCAGTATGTCAGAACAAAGATGCATTTCTGTTTAAAAGTTACTGTTTTCTATTAATGCATTACAAAAACAAAATATCTATTGATACAAGTGAAAATGTTTGTAGAAGGAAAAATAGTACACTAAGCTTTATATCATCTGAACAATATGAGTTTTTTAAATTTATTGAAATGTTTATGTCATTAGAAAGGAATGAATCGAATATTTTATATTTCAATTTACCTGGAAGTGAATATATGTCTTCTAACATTAATCCATTATACTTCATTTGTATATTGTAGAACTCAAAACAATAAAAGATAGAAGAAATAGATCAGTCATAGTTCATTTAGATAACAAACCATATGATTTTACTTCAACTGAACCAGTTCATTTTAGGTGATTATGTAACCAAAATTTAAAAAGAAAGTACTATTTAACATTTTAATTAAGTCCTTCATCATCCAAAGATTAGTGGATGATCTTTGTGGCAGAATTCTATATGACAATGCTATTAAGCAAGCAACAATTTCTAAAATTTCCAAATGTTTTATTTATAAAAAACTTGAACTGCCACCTAAAATTAAGAAAAAAAACAACTTCTTCACTTCAAAATTTGAATCATACATCATTGAACCTTCTATATGTAAAATGAAACAAATAACATTTCTACCATGCATTAACCCAGCAGGTAAAAACTGAAAATAGCCACAAAAGTGAGAACAAATATTTTTCCTCATTAAAAAATAGTTGATGGATTGAAAGGAAAGAATGGAAGAATACTTAGTCAATCTTTACACCTTGATATCAATAAAGATATGTGTTCTCAGCATTTATTCCTTTGTTTAGAGGATGAAATCTGTATTAATAGAATTTATCAGTGTGATGGCTATCAGGATTGTTTCT